CGACGGGGAGGAGGAAGAGGAGGATGAGGAGGAGGAGGAGGAGGAGGAGGAGGAGGAGGAGACAGAATTGTGAGGACGCCCAGCATGGGTTGCCTGAACTCTAGGCGGTGGCTGTGTGCAACAGCCAGGGTTCAGCCAGGGTTGCATAGGCCGCCCAGGCCAAATGACTTCTGCGAAGGCTGGTGCCTGCGCAGGGCCTGGGCGAGGGCGCCGTGGCTAGACCGTATCGGGGCGTCCTTCGGATTCACCTCGTCATCGGTCTACTCCTGCTGCTGCTGCTGCTGCTGCTGCTGCTGCTGCTGCTGCTGCTGCTGCTGATGCTTCTCGTCATCAGCAGCACCATCATCGCGAGGCAGCATCGTCCTGCTCCCTGTCCTGGCATCCTCCTCCCGCCTCTCATCCTCCTCCTCAGCTCCTCCTCCTCCTCATCTCCTCCTCATCCTCCTCCTCCTCATCATATACAAACCTCATACCTGCTTCTCCTAATCCTCCTAATCATACTCCTCCCTACTTCCTCCTCATCTCCTCTCGCCCCCCAAATTCTACTGTCCATACCTCCTCCTCCTCTCCTCCTCATTACATCCCCTCCTCCTGCATCATAATCCTACCTCATCGCTATACACTCCTCACTACTCTCCCTCCTCCTACTACTATCATCTACTCCTCCTCCCCTCCTCCTCCCCTCCTACTCCCCTCTTACCTCCTCACTCCTCATCCTCCTACTCCTCCTACTCTTTCCTTCTACTCCCTCTCCTTCATAATACATACCTCCTATCGGACTAATACATACTACCTCCTCCTACTCATCCTACACAAGCATCCTTGTACTCCCTACCTCATACATACTCTCACTATCCCTACCTCCTCCTATACTAATAACCTCCTCCTACCTCGCCCCACCTTCCCTGTCCCTCCTACCTCAATACTCACTCACTACTAATACTACGCATACGCTAATCATACTTCTCCTCCTCTTCCTCCTCGCATCTCCTCATCCCCCTCCTCCTGCTCCTCACTCCTCCTCCTCATCTCCTCCTAATCATCGCCTCCTCCCTCCTCTCTCCTCCTCCCCCTCCTGCTCCTCCCCCTCCTCCTCCTTCTCCTCCTCCTCCTCCTCCTCCTCCTCCTCCTCCTCCTCCTCCTGGCACCAGTCGTTCTGGCTAGAGGCAGGCCCCGCGCTACACGGTGCCCGCGCCGCCCCTGCGCGCATGTCTGGCGGCAGGTGAGTGCTGCTGCCGGGCCCCACGCGTGGCGAAGCGTCCTGGCTCGTCCTATAGTCACGAGGGGATTAAAAACACTTGCACAATTAACTGTCGATTCCCCCGAAAAGATGGGAAAAATTGGGAAGTGGAGGGGAAGACAGAAACCCAGAAAATATAGGAAAACATTGGGAATCCGGTTACTTGTGTGTATTTGTTTGTGTGTCCCAGTTCCCCTTCATATAGCCCCGCCAAACAGTGTTCTAAGAACCTTTTGTGGCTTCCACGAAATGTTCTCTCAGAACATTTCTGGCTGGGACTGCCTTAGTTCAAAGCATCGTGTGAATGTTCTGAGAGCACCGTTTTTCTCCTTGGATCATGTTTGGGTTCTAAGAACATTTCGTGGTAGGACTATAGGAGTGCCGGGACGGTCGGTCCCTGCTCAAGTTTGGTTGCGCCGCCGATCTGGAAGACCCCCCTTGACACTTTGGGCTGAGTCCTGGTGATTATCCGGAGCGCCGTCGTCGTCGCAGCTTCGGCTCGGCTTGGCTGGCTGGCGGTCCGTGCGTCCATCTCTCCCTCCTTGGGGTCGCCATCGCGCCGATGTGTCTTCGCATTTGCTGTGACCTGCCCGAGGGGATCACACGTAGGATGCAGAGGGATTCCATCGTGTTTAGGCCCAACGTCTCCTGACCAACGCTGGGGCAGCCGGCTCGACTTCGGACCCCCCCAAGCACCGTGCACGAGGCACTGCGTTTCGGGCAGGCTCGGCGTCTGCTCAAGAGCTGGTCGGGGAGCTCCCCCATGCTCTCGTGGTCGCAGCTCCTGATTGATGACCTGGACTGCAGCGGGCATACAGCCAGGACGCTGAAACAGGGAGCAGTTCGGGCCCAGGAGGGGCTCGCCATTCCCTGGGTCCTTCCGTGGCGGTTCCTCTAGCGCTCCTCGTGCACCCCGCCGCTCTGGGGGACCAGGAAGGGGCGTCGTTCCCCGCGTAGCACTCCTTGGGGCAAAGGCTTGACCGTACCCTGCCTGGGGCCGGCGTCACCCCAACATACTTATGCTATATGTGCGTTGCCCCCCCCAGGGGCGACGCGCGCACCGAGAATGGCGGGCGCTTTCTGGCCACACCGCTCGGGAAACGATCTACTACACGATGGGTATACTATATGTTCGGGTCGGACGCGCGCCTCCAAGGAGGGCACATAGTATTAGTATGTCCCTGTGCGTCCCATGGGGGCCAGGATCCTGGTGCACGGGCCCCCTCTGGCCGATGCCACCCCTCGGCCCGTGGATGGGGCCCGCTCGGTGCCAGTCTGTTCTCGGGGTGCGGTTGGGGGCCTCCCTGCCCAGGGGCAGCATGCAGAATTTCGCCGCGCCGAGCTACGAGCAGGACCAGCCGCAGGCGGGCTTCGTGCCGCAGCTGGTGCAGTACAGCCCTGCGGCCCCAACGGCTTCAATCAGGGAGGGATGCGAGCCCCAGGAAGGTGGATACGCATGACGCGGCCGGCTCGGGTCCTCCTCCTCCTCCTCCTCCTCCTCCTCCTCCTCCTCCTCCTCCTCTTCCTCCTCGTCCTCCTCCTCCTCCTCCTCCTCCTCCTCCTCCTCCTCCTCCTCGTCCTCGTCGTCCTCCACGCCGCCCGCTCTCGCCGAGAGCTGGCTACTTACGCAGCTTGCCGGATGTCCCTCCAGCGCTCCCGTGGCCGCGCAGGCCAGCCTTCCCGCAGGTGCACCCAGCGCGTGTGGCCTCCACGGATTCCGCGTGCAAAGCCGACCGCGTGAGTGTTTCCAGCCTTCCTGGTGGGAGGGGAGCTTGAGGATGAGGGTTAGACTCCTCCTCCTCCTCCTCCTCCTCCTCCTCCTCCTCCTCCTCCTCTTCCAGCCTTCCTGGTGGGAGGGGAGCTTGAGGATCCCGGCGTCGCTCGGACGTGTGCATTTTTTCTCGGCGAGAACCCTCGAGGACCATCCTGGACCATCGAGCAAAACAAAAAAACACGCACGAAACCGACACATGCACGGGGAGTGGACGTCCGAGCGATGGCAAGGGAGGAGGGTTAGACTCAACGACCCCTTCTCCACAGCGGCGCGACTCGAGAAAAGGATCACGGGGAGGAGGAAGGAGGAGGAGGAGGAAGAGGAGGAGGAGGAGGAGGAGGAGGAGCAGGAGGAGGAGGAGGAGGAGAGGAGGAGGAGGAGGAGGAGGAGGAGGAGGAGGGAGGAGGAGGAGGAGAGGAGGAGGATGAGGAGGAGGGGGAGGAGGAGGAGGAGGAGGAGGAGGAGGAGGAGGAGGAGGAGGAGGAGGAGGGAGGAGGAGGGAGGAGGAGGAGGAGGACAGGAGGAGCAGCCGCACGCGTCGGCAACCCGTGCAGGCCGCGCTGCAGACGGGGTGCGCCGGCTTCAACGAGGAGTTCTCCTCGACGCCGCCGTCCCCCGTCGGCAACCAGGCTTGGGCCCTGGAATCCGCCAACCTCCTCTGCTCCACCCCCTCGCGTCGTGAAAAAATCACGACGGAAGGTTTTTCCTTCTTTTTGGCCTCTGGGGGCCCTTACCGGCCCTCGGGACAGACAAGAAACGACTCAGGACGAAAAACCGGCCCCGGGGAATGGGTCGAGACCTCGGGGGGTCAACGTCATGAAAAAATCATGACGTCGGGGGTCTGGGTCCTTCGCTCCACCCCCCCTCCTGAGGTCCGCCCTCCTCCCTGGTTCGGGAAGGAGAGGTCGGCAGGAGGGAGGGGGGAGCGGAGCAGGGCTTGGCGGATTGGCACCCGGGCCCCGCAGTCGCCTTTCGGCAGCATCCAGACGCCCTTCCAGCCGCAGGCACAGTACGCGCCACATGCGGGATTCCCGCAGCAGGCCCCAGCGTCCCCCGAAGCATTCATGCAGACGGCGCCCGTTGTGCCTGGCGGGTTCCAGCTGGAGGCGTCGCCGACCAGCTTCGGCCAACAGGCTCCAGGGTCCCCCGCAGCATTCATGCAGACAGCGCCCACGGCCCCTGGCGGGTTCCAGCTCGAGGCGTCGCCGACCAGCTTCGGCCAGCATGCCCCGGGGTCCCCGACGATGTTTATGCAGACGGCGCCCGCTGCCCCTGGCGGGTTCCAGCTCGAGGCGTCGCCGACCAGCTTCGGCCAGCCAGTGGGAGCAGGGACCTGCGGGTTCCCGCAGACGGGCCCTGGGACCCCGCCCGGCTACGCGCTGGAGGGGTTCGCCCCGCAGACCGGCTGCCAGCAGCAGATGCTCTTCGCGCCGCAGGGGGCGCAGGCGTTCAGCCCTCAGGCCGCAGGGTTCATGCAGCAGGGAGCCTTCCAGCCACAGGAGCACGCCGCCATGCAGCAGGGAGCCTTCCAGCCACAGGAGCACGCCGCCATGCAGCAGGGAAGCTTCCAGCCACAGGAGCATGCCGCTGGGTGCGGTACTCCATGTGGTGGGCCAGGGCAGCAGACGGGGTTCCTGCAGCCGCAGCAGCAGGGTGCGTTCCAGCAGGTGCCGTTCGGGCAGCCCACTGGCCCGAGCCATTTCGATGGGTCCCAGGCGCCTAGCCACGCGCAGCAGCCGCAGCAACAGCAGCAGCTGCTGGGTGGGATGCAGGCCTATGGGCAGCAGCACCACCACCAGCAGCAGCAGCAGGCGCCGTCGCTGCATCACCAGCAGCAGCTGCTGCAGCAACCGCTGCAGCAGCCCCAGCAGCAGCCGCAGCAGCCGCCGCAGCAGCACCAGCAGCAGCAGCTGGGGCAGCAGGCGTCACCCACGCAGCAGGCGGGTCAGCTGCAGCTGCAGCCCTTCGGAGCGCAGGCTCCGCCCATGATGCAGGACCATTGGCAGCAGCGACCGCAGGAGCTGCATGGCGGCCCGCACCAGCAGACACCGATGCCCGAAGTGATGCAGGACCCGTACCAGCAGGATGGATATGGTGGACGGCATATGTATGGCATGGGTGGCAACCAGCCACAGGTCGGCATGTACCCAGGGCCAGGTGGTGGCGGCGGCGGCGGCGCACAGATGGGACAGGTCATCACCGGCGGGGCTTCCCCTGGCGGCCGCCATTTCTCTGGCGGGGTCCCTCCGGAGGACGGCGGGGGCGCCTGCATGGTGATGCACAGCATGCCTGTCGACGTCAGCGAGCAGGAGCCGATGTTCTTCCCCGAGTTTGCCGACAGGGAGGGCGAGCAGGCGGGCCAGAGGCCGCACGCACACATGATGCAGGGCCGAGGGCAGCAGCTCCAGCAGGGCGGCGCGCCGGCCATGCAGGGACCCGGCGGCGGCAGGCAGCCTGCCACCCAGCTGGGCCGCAAGGGGCAGCTGCAGCACCAGGGGCGCGCAGACGGAGGCTGCCCGCCAGCGTTCTCGTCCAGGCACCTCGGCCAGCAGGGTGGCCCCCAGGCGCCTTCCAGCGGCTGCCACGGCTTCGCCCCCGCGTCGATGCTCGGGGGCTGCAGGCCGGACGGCGACCCGGGCGGCTGCGGTCCGGGCGGGGCGGGAGGGGGCTGTGGCGGTTGTGACCCGTGTGGCGGGTGCAGCGGGCCCTGCTGTGGGCAGTGTGGCGGCGGGTGCGGCGGCTGCTGTGGCGCGCCAGGCGGTGGCGGGCCATGCGACGGGCCATACGGGGGCTGCGGCGGGCACTGCGCGGGCAACTTCTCCTCGCCTTGCAGCGGCTGCATGGCGTGCGACGGTGGAGGTCCAGGCTCCAGCTTCGTTGGCGCCGCCGGCCAGGGCCTCGCCAGCGCCAGCGGCGGCGGCCGAGGCGGGCACTGCAGCCAGCAGGGCGGCATGGGGCCAGACGGCATGGACATGTCGCCCGGCGGCTACTGCGACTACGGCGGCTGCCGCGGGCTCGGCGCTGGAGGCCCATCCGGCTGCGTCGCTGGTGGTGCCTGCTGCGGGGGGGGCCCTGGCGGCGGCGGCCACTGCGGCAGTTGCGGCGGCTTCTGCGGCCGAAGGGAGGACGGGGGGTGTGGCGATGGCTTCGGTGGCTGTGGCGGCCGCGGCGGCTGCGGCAGCTGCGGCGGCTGTGGCCCGCAGCAGCAGCAGCAGCAGCAGCAGCATCACCAGCAGCAGCAGCACTACGGCAAGGGCTGCGACGGCGGCAGTGGCTGCGGCGGACAGGTCATGCAGCAGTGGTCCGGCGGCTGCAGGGCAGACCAACGCGGCGGCTGCTGCGGATCCTGCCCAGTCCAAGGCGGGGTGGGTCTTGGTGGCGGCTACGGCGCAGGCTGCCAGGGCGGCCAATGCAACCGGGCAGGGCCAGGCGGCGGCGGCGGCGGCTGCGGCCCGGTGGGCTGCCTGCAAGAGCAGCCGCAACAGCGGCGCGGTCGGGGAGGCGACAGAGAAGGGGACGGAAGCCAACAGCGGTGCGACCTCTTCGTGGGCAGGCTGGGCGATAACAACGAGGAGACCATCCGGGAGCTGTTCATGTCCGTGGGCCTTCCGATCTGGTCCGTCAGAATACCCACGGACGGGCAGGGCCACAAGAAGAGTTTCGCGTTCATCACCCTCGTAGACCCTTCGAAGAAGGAGCTCGCCATCAAGAACCTGAACGGCCGCCAAGTGAACGGGAGCACCATCGCCGTAGAGTTGGGGAAGGGCGACGGTGGCGGCAAGGGCGGGGGCGACAAGGGCGTCAGGCTCGTCGATATCGCGGAGGGCTGGTCTGGTGGCCATGGATGTGTTTTGACATGTTTTCTGGGTGATTCGCAGAATCTGCGTGACGAGGGGCGCAGCAGGCACGCGAGCAGCAGGAGGGGGGTCTGGTTGGTGGCCCAGGATGGGGGTCTTCGGGTGGATCGTGTAGATCACGCGCGCGCGTGCTTCTTCTGCGGATTCGACGAAACAAAGCGTGTGTCGAAAGCAGGCCCAGATCGCACACCCACACAAAAGCACGAACACAAACACAAGCACAAACAGAAAGACAAGCACAAACGCATACACACACACACACACACACACACGCATACACACATGTTCTATACACACGTATGCACACGCATGAGATGAGTGTTTACACGGCTGTTGAATGCATGCGGCATCGGTCACGTATGGACTTAGCCCACACACACACTGCCCCATCACGAAAGGCACTTCCCCACCGCCACTCGCCATGACGGTACGTTGACTCTTTTGGATAAGCTCTCTCTCTCTCTCTCTCTATATATATATATGTTATATGTACATATTCCCATTCATGCATTTTTATTACCCCGGACCCCCCCACAATCGGACCCCCCGAATCCCGGGCCCCCAGGACCCTCTGGACCCACCGGATCCGTGGCCCTGGGGACCCCTTGGACGCCCCCGAGAGCTCCCGGAAGCCCCTTTGCTGGCCTGGGCAACAGGAGGGCGGCCGAACGCCCCCCCCGAGGGCCGACACCCCCTCCTCCTCCTCCTCCTCCTCCTCCTCCTCCTCCTCCTCCTCCTCCTCCTCCTCCTCCTCCTCCTCCTCCTCCTCCTCCTCCTCCTCCTCCTGACGCCTGAAGACGGCCCAAAGAAGACCCCACAGAGGTTTCCAAAACGCAGAAATGCATTGACCTGCCAAGGTTTTTGCATGATTTTGGGGATGCCCCGTTCTTCGGTCTTCTAGGCGTCCGAGACCGCCTGGGAGGCTCGAAAGTCGCCACAAAAAATCATCCGACGGGGCTTCCAGGCAGTCCGAGAGAGCCCCAAGACGGCACAACAAGGTTCCAAGATGGTCTAAGAGAGTCCCATGACGGCCCAAGATGGCCCCAAGACACCATCCGAAATATTCCAAATCGTGACCCGATCGTTCAGGGAGACCGCGATTGGAGGCAGGGTGGCCCGAGGAAGCCCCCAGAGGCCCCCAGAAGACGCCCAGGAGGCCTCCAGAAGGCTTTAAAAAGTTAGAAAAACTTCCGCGAAGCCCAAAGAGGCTCTCCAAGGAGGATCATCCGCGACAAGAGCTGAGGAGGGTGGGGAAGAATTCGCAGGGTAGGGCGAGAATGAGAAACAAGAAGTATGGAGGAAAGATCGCGAATAACAATATTATAACGGCGATACCGGAAAAGACAACAAGGAGTTATCGCTAAATTGTCTGTTTTACCTTACTGCATTGCAATTCCGTTTGCATGCCAAACTTCAAAGACCAAGATGCATGGCGCGAAGCGCCAATGCAGTCTTGTGTGTCTGTATGAATACATTTACATGCATATAAATGTATATGCATGTCCCTATATACCATGAACAAGCATGCTTTCGGCAGTCGCGCTCCCTCTCCGATCTTCTTCCATTGTCGCGAACAGCTAAAACGCACACATAAAAGTAATCAGGATACGTCTTGGGACCACCATCCTTGTGATATCCTCAATCCACAAACTATTGTTAATCCCTGTGAGACCACTAAAACCATACATGATCAAAGGTGATCGGCATTCGCGCTCCCTCGCCGATCTCCTCCTCTCATCCTTACAAATTAAATGCATAAGACAGATACAGTTTCTCTCAACTTAGCCTGGCGAAGGACCCAACCATATGCAGTTGTGCGTGCCGCAGATGTGAGTATCGTCTTCGGTGGAGCTCCTTATGTGGCCACAAAACGTGTGACACATCTGCGGAAATGGGGGTGGAACCGCATGCGAACCTTGCCACTGGGGCCTTCGGTGGAGCTCCCTACGGGGCCACGAAACGCGTGAGTGGTGTGCTAAGATGAGGGTGGAACCGCATGCGAACCCTGCCATTGGGGCCTTCGGTGGAGCTCCCTATGAGGCCACGACACGTGCGAGGATGTGCCGACATATTGGTGTAACCGCACGCTAACCCTGCCAATGGGGCCTTTGGTGGGAGCTCCCTGTGGGGCCATGGAATGTGGAAGGGGTATGCTGACATTGGGGGTGAAACCGCATGCGAACCCTGCCATTGAGGCCTTCGGTGGAGCTCCCTACGTGGCCACGAAACGTGTGAGGGGTATACCGAAATCGGGGGTGGAACCGCATGTGAACCCCGCCATTTGGGGCCTCGGTGAAGCTCCCTGTGGGGCCACGAAATGAGGGGTGCGCCGAAATGGAGGTGGAACCGCATGCGAACCCTGCCGCGGGGGCCTTCGGTGGAGCTCCCTATGGGGCCTAGAAGCGCGTGAGGGGTGTGCCGACATGAGGGTGGAACCGCATGCGAACCTCGCCACTGGGGCGCGCTGGTGGATTTTCTTATTGGGCCACGAGGCGTGTGAGGGGTGTACTGACATCGGGGGTGGAACCGCATGCGAACCCTGCTACTAGGTCTTTCGGTGAAGCTCCCTTATTATGAGGCCACGCAACGTGTGAGGGATGTGCCGGCATTGGGGGTGGAACCGCATGCGAACCTTGCCACTGGGGCCTTCGGTGGAGCTCCCTATGAGGCCCCGCAACGTGTGAGGGGTGTGCCGAAAAGGGGGGTGGAAGCGCATGCGAACCCTGCCATTAGGGCCTTCTGTGGAGCTCCCTCTGGGGCCGCGAAACGTATGCGGGATGGGCCGAAATGAGTGGCGGGAACGCATGTGGCACCGTCACTGGGGCCTTCGGTGGAGCTCCCTATGAGGCCACGCAACGTGTGAGGGGCGTATGGGTGGCGGGGACGCATGTGGGCACCTCCATTAGGGCCTTCTGTGGAGCCACGAAACGTGTGAGGGGTGTGCCGAAATGGGCGGCGGGGACGCATGTGGGCACCGCCACTGGGGCTATCGGTGGAACTCCCTGTGGGGCCACGCAGCGTGTGATGGGTGTCCTGAACTTGGTTGCGGGGGCGCCTGTGGACTGCGCCACTGGGGCTTGCGGTGAAGCTCCTCTGGGGCCACGAAACGTGTGAAGGGTGTGCCGACATGGGTGGCGGGGGCACCTGTGAGCACTGCCGCTGGGGCCTTCGGTCGAGCCTCTTATGGTGCCACGAAACGTATGCGGGATGGGCCGAAGTGAGTGGCGGGAACGCATGTGGCACCGTCACTGGGGCCTTCGGTGGAGCTCCCTATGAGGCCACGCAACGTGTGAGGGGCGTATGGGTGGCGGGGACGCATGTGGGCACCGCCATTAGGGCCTTCGGTGGGGCTCCCTATGGGGCCACAAAGCGTGTAAGGGGTGTGCCGAAATGGGTGGCGCGGACGCATGCGGGCTGCGCCACGAGGGCCTTCGGCGGAGCTCCTGTGGGGCCACGAAACGTGTGAGGGGAAACACCCTTCTTCGTTTTTGATCCTTTTTCAAGTCGCGGCCACTTGGGGCCCGCCGCCGCCTGAGCATGCGAATGAGCATTCAAAACGCGGCCGCGTTGGGCCCAGCACGGGAGACCATTGCGGGGGCACCCGTGGCGCGCGACGACGGCGCATGCGCCGTGCGTTGGGCCAGGAGACGCAGGCCGAAAACGCACTGGGTGGTTTGGCTCTCGGACGCGTTGGTTGCCACAAAGCCGATTTACCACATCGGACTTCCATAACACGCGATACAGATTCAAGAGTTCTCGCTCGAGACGCCCGAGCAAAAGTCCGCGCCGTGGACTTCGAATCGTGGTGGGCAACGCCAGAGCCGGCCAACCAGGGGAAGCGCCCCTCGTCTTTTTTCAAAGCGCGACCGATTGGGGCCCGCCGCCGCCTGAGCACGTGGATGCAGGGCAGTATCCTTTTCAAGACGCGGCCGCGTTGGGCCCAGCACAAGATCCCATTGCGGGAGCACTCAGGACGAAGGCGTACAGTTTGTTCGTTTGTTTGCTATCCCGGGCCGCTCGTGGAGCGTCTTCGGGCCTCTCTTGGAGCTGATCGTGGGTCTCCTGGGGTGCTTTGCGGCCTTTCAACATCATCCAAGAGTTTTAAAGCGGTTGTTGAGCATTTCTTCGAAGGCATCTGGGGGTGCTGGAGTCGTTTTGAGCGGTTTGGCTCCAGGACGACCACGCGGCCTGCACCAGCAGCGGCCAAGAGCGTTTGGGGCGGCTGCGGTGTCGCATCCAGACGCAAGTCAGAGCGGCCAGGAGCTCAGGCAATTCATGGCCCGGGCACTTGACAGTCTTACAATGCCTCTATCTCTCCAACGTTCACATCTGTATGAGCCTTGGTGCGCTCCACTACGTGGTGAAGGCACGGTGGCGGATTGAGTCGTCTTGGTTATTTTCCCATTGAATTCGTCCCATATGGGTTCAAATGACGAGAACTACAATCAGCAGAACATGCAAGGCGGCAGCAAGAGCATCACACCAATCTCACACACTGGGTAGGCAGTACACGCAGGACACGCATACATTGACGTTAGCGCGCATAGGCAGGACTCTGCTCACCATCCTTGTGATAGCCAGAGGCTCAGAGGTGCTTACAGGCGCCACGGTGCTCCCAGGTAGCGTTGTGATGGTAAGTGATGTGGCGGTCGCATGCCACGTGGTGATCGCAGGCGCTGTGCTGCTCACCCGAGAGGACGAGTGAAGAGGATGAGTGAGAAGGAGGACGGGGAGAAAGAGAAACAGGAAGCTTCGGTGGGCCCAGCCGCAGCGTTGGGCAGTCGAGCTCGAGACTGGGGCCAACGAGCAAACCCATGTGCGGGCACTCCACTGTCGAGCACCACAGGGTCGGTGACGCTCACAGCGACGCTGATGTCCACCACCGTGCCAAGGAGCACCACAGTCATTGTGAGCATTTCAGGCCAGTGTGCACCAAAACCTGCACATGAGGCTCTGACGTGATCGCGGGCAGGCACCACTTCTCCCATGAACACCACCGTGCCTGTGTAAGCCACAACGCTCTTGCGCACCACAAGCATACATGTTCACGACGTGCCCATGATCACGAGAGGGCCCGCGAGCACCGCAATGTGCCATGGAGCCCCACGGGCTTCGTGAGAGTCGCCACCCTTCTCGGCAACGGCGCCTCGTCGCAGCGCGGTGCCCGCGAGCACCGCAGGAAAGGGACCCGCGGTGCCGCCCAATGACCGCGCGCGGTGCTCGCGAGCACGGCAGCACTTGTGACCTCTTCCACGGCCTGCTGGCACCGCCGCCGTGTGCGTGTTTCCGCGCCACGGCGGCCACGAGCACCACCCCTCCTGTGAGCACCTGTCGTGCACCAGAGAGCCCCTGAGGCCCAGGAGAAGTTTCGGGGGTGGACAGACCTCCTACCCTGACACGTCGATTCAGGAACTGGCCGTTTTCGGTTCGCGAGAGGGCGTCGCGGCGGTCATTCTTGCGGGTCCAGGTCCGTCGGTTTCGGTCCCAGGCCGTTTTCATTAAGGGGAGGGTTTACTGAAGGGAGGTTTGTCCACCGCCGAAGAAGCGTAGCGCCTGCTGGGGCCGCAGGACCTGTGAGCACTACCGAGCCTGCAGGCGCTGCAGACCTGGATCCACGTGCGGTCTCCGATCCGAGCCCTGCGTGTGCGGCTCCCCACGGGCCGCCGAAAGCATGCTCCTCCTAGTTCTCCAGTCGCAGATGCTGCGCCGCAGACCATAGAAATGCCAGCTCCCCAGGCGGCGGAGGGGCCCCGCACGACAGAGCTTGTGGCGGCGGCAGAGCCGGCATGGGCGGCGACTTCGGCTGCGGCCCGGGCGACGGCGGCGGCTGCTGCGCGGGAGGCGCCCGCGGCAGCCGCCCGGGCGGCGGCCCTCCCGTGGGCCCGCTGGGCGGCCCGCTGGACCCGGGCGGGCTGCCGGGCGGCGGCCCCGGCGGCGGCATGATGCCCGACGGCTGGGGCGGCGGCGGGCCCAGCGGCGCGGGCCGGGGCCTCGGCGGCCGCGGCGGCGGGGGCGCCTTCGGCTGCGGAGGCCTGCAGGACGACGCCGCGGCCGCGGGGCGCCCGCGCGCGGGCGCGCCCGCGGCCGCGGCTGCGGCGCGGGCCCGCGCGCGGCCTACGGGGGCCCCTGCGGCGGGCGGGCGGCGGGCCGGGCGAGCCCGGGGGCTGCGGCCTGCGCGGGGGGCCGCCGGCGCCCGAGGACGCCGCGGGCTTCGGCCCCGCCGCGGCCTACGGCGACGGCGGGTGCCACGGGGCCAAGGGCAACAAGGGCGCGGGGCGCGGCCGGGGCGGGCGGGGAGGCGGCAAGGGCGCGGGCTTCGAGGGCGGCAGGGGGGGCCCCGACGGCGGCGCCGCGCAGCTGATGCCGCCCGGCGGCGGCGGCGCGGACGGCCCGCCCGGCGTGTGGGGGTCGCACGCGCCAGCTCCGTACGCCGCGGGCGGCGACGCGCCGAAGGGCAAGGGCAGGGGCGGGGGCCCCGCGGGGAGCAGCCGCCCCAGCACCGTGTTCGTGGGCAACCTCTCGGCGGACGCGACCCGGGAGGACATGTTCGAGGCCCTGAGCCCCGCGGGGGAGATCACCAACATACGTGTCCTGGAGAGCAAGTCCTCCAGCTTCTCCGGCATTGCCTTCGTGGAGTACAAGGACCAGGCGGGACTGTGCACGATGCGACTCGGCCCTCAGGCGTCGACCCCGATCTCGACCCGATCCGATCCGGCGGGGACCGAGGCCACCTCTGGCCTGCAGGGGCCGAGCCTGGCCAGCGATCCGAGACATATCTCTTCGCGATGCGGTCCAGCTCGTGCCCGCCAGTCAGGGGCAACGACAGAGTGGACATGGGGCCCGGGACCCGCACCCCGCCCAGGCACCTGCGGTCCCGCTACTGGGGGGCTGGGGGCTCTCGCCGACCTATCGGCGGTGCAGCATCGACGATTCCAGGTCGATGTTCTGGCCCACCTCCCCCTGCAACCCCCCTGGGCCAGTCCCCCTTGCCCGGACCCCCTACTAGGTTGTGACCTTGTTCGCGCACAGGCCCCCAGAGATCTCGGCCCCTTCCTCCCCTGGGTCGGCTCCTCAGCCCGAGCCGTCTGCTGCCCGCCCCTGGGCAGCGGCGAGGGCGCCCCAGGGGCGGAGAAAACAGCGTGCAGGTGCCGCCCGCCGGCCGGGAGCCCCCTGCCGCGACGCGAAGGGGGGCCACTGGGCCCCCTCCGCCAGGCGAGCGTCGAGCGCGCCATCCAGGGCCTCCAGGGCGTGAGCATCCGCGGCCGCGCGGCGCGCCTGGAGCGCCAGGGCGGCGGCGCGCAGGGCGGCGGCGCGCAGGGCGGCGGCGCTGGGCAGCCCCCCGACGGCCACCGGGCCGCCGCGGGCCTGCCGGGCAGGGGCGGGCCGGCCGGCAAGGGCGGCCCCGGCGTGCTGCAGGCGAAGGCCCGCTGCGCGCGCGAGGGCCGGCTGGGCGCGTATGGGAGTGGCCTTTTTCGCCGGACCCAGACCTCCGACGTCGCGAGAAACTCACGACGAAGGTTTTCGATAATTTGCGGCCTCTGGAGGCCCCCGCCGGGCCTCGGGAGCGTCAAAAAACCACCCGGGATGAAAAACGGGTCCCAGGGAAGGTCTCCAGACTTCGGGGGGCCGACGTCGTGAGTTTCTCACGACGTCGGGGGTCTGGGGAGTGGCCTCTGGTGCGGGCACAGGTGGGTCCCCAGAGGGCTGAGAGCGGAGCAGCTGCAGCAGCAGCAGCAGCAGCTGCCTGCGCGCCCGGGTCTGGTCCCCCCCGCGGCCCCCAAGACGTCGCGCGCCAGAGGCCACTCTTACCCAGGGTCACTCTTGCGTATAGCCGAGAGGGCGACCCTTTCGCACGGGGCTATGAGGGCGAGGATGGAGCCGTTCCAGAGCGTTCCGGGACGCGCTCGGAGCGTTCCGGAATGCTCCGAGGAGGCCGCGGCGCCCGAGGCATCCTCCAGAGCTGCCGGACCTCAGAGGAGCTCGACGTCTCCTCACCCGATGTTAATCTTCGCCCCAGCTTCGTCTTGCACTTCTTTTCCGGAGTGGGCTCCTGGTACGGGCGCCCACGGGGGGGCTTTCTCGTCCACAGCGCCAGACTTAAGTCGGGCCTGTCCCCCGACAGGGGGATGTTCGACGAAAAATAAAAAATACCCCACAACAAATAATAAATAATTGTTTTTAAAATATTTCCCAACCTAGGCTCTGCCTAGAAGGGTTCTTTCTCGGTATGCTTAAAGGGCCGGACAGTGCAACTCGCCCCGGGCGGTTCCCCCAGTATCCGCCCCGCGGTTCCCACAGTTACGTCCCCTTAGCTTAGCGTTGCTTATCTCATCTTAGTTTAGCTTATTCCCTACCTAGGTTCTGCCTAGAAGAGTTCTTATTCGGTAAACTTAAAGGGGCGGGCAATGGGCCCCACCCTGGGCGGTTCCCCCGGCATCCGCCCCGCGGTTCCCCCAGTTGCGCCCCCTGGGTTCACCCAGCTTAGCTTAGCTAAGCTAAGCTTAGCTTAGCTTAGCTTATCTCATCTTAGCTGAGCTTAGCTTAGCTTAGCTTAGATTTGCCTAGCCTAGCTTGGCTTGGCTTGGCTTAACTTAGCTTGGCTTAGCTTAGCTTAGCTTAGCTTAGCTTAGCTTAGCTTATGTCATATTAGCTTAGCTTAGCTTAGTTGAGCTTAGCTTAGCTTAGCTTGGCCTAGTTTAGCTTAGCTTAGTCTAGCCTAGCTTAGCTTAGCTTAGCTTAGCAAATCTTAGCTTAGCTTAGCTTAGCGCAGCATAGCGCAGCGCAGCATTAGCACACTATAGCATAGCATAGCATAGCCAAGCATCGCATAGCATAGCACAGCATAGCATAGCATAGCATAGCATAGCTCAGCATATCATAGCATATGATATCATGATATAGCATATCATAGCATAGCGCAACATATCATATCATAGCATAGCATAGCAATGTATTGCTTAGCATAGTACAGCGCAGCATAACATATCATAACATAGCATACCCTAGCCTAGCCTAGCCTAGCCCAGCATAGCATTGCGCAGCATAGCAGAGCAGAGCAGAGCAGAGCAGAGCAGAGCAGAGCAGAGCATAGCGCAGCACAGCATCCACTACTGCTGCTGCTAATGTTGCTTTCCTAGAGGCTCCAACTCCTAGGTAGGGTCGCACCGGGATAATGTTTAACCTTTTTGGGGACATGTTTGGGGGATCTTTTATTCTTCGTCGACAATCCCCCTGTAGAGGGACGCGCCCGACAGAACGCCAGACGCAGTCCGCGTGGGCGCGGCCCGTGCGTGCTCTTGGCTCGCCACCCAGACCCCCGACGTCATGATTTTTTCATGACGTCGACCCCCCGAGGTCTCGACCCATTCCCCGGGACCGGTTTTTCGTCCTGAGTCGTTTTTTGGCGGTCCCGAGGGCCGGTAAGGGCCCCCGAAGGCCCAAAAATAGCGAAAAACCTCCCGTCGTGATTTTTTCCTAACTCGAGGGGGTCTGGGGTGGGCGCGGCCCGTGCGTGCTCTTGGCTCGCCACCGCGGTGCCGCTGCGCCGGCGGAGGCAGCCGCGGGCCCACGCGGGGCCCCCAGCGGACCCCGGCACCGGCCTGCACGGGCCCCGGGGCCGGCCCCGGGGCCCCTGCAGGGCTCGTGGTGCTTCCTCCCCAGATCTGGGGAGGAAGCACAACGAGCCCTGCAGGAGGTCGACCTCCTCGCGAGGAGGTCGACCTCGCGCGTCGTCGACCTCCTCGCGTCGTGAAAAAATCACGACGCGAGGAGGTCGACCTCCTCGCGTCGTGAAAAAATCACGACGGGAGGTTTTTCGCTATTTTTTCGCCCTCGAGGAGGCCATTGCCGGGCCTCGGGACCGTCAACAGAACGACTCAGGGCGAGAAACCGGACCTCTGGGGAAGGGTCCAGACCTCTGGGGGGTCGACGTCGTGAAAAAATCACGACGTCGGGGGTCTGGGTCCGATTCGATATTGGACCTCGATGGCTGCCGCTTCCGACTCGGTTCGGCGTCGGATTCTTCCGAGGTGGCCGTTGCCGATGTCTCCATGGAGGCCTACCAGGCCGCCGATGCCCGTCGATTCGGCGTCTCCCGACTCGGCTGCCGATTCTCGCCGGCCCGAGTAATCCGTAAGGGCTTCGCCTCCTGCCGCCGGCCCCCTCTCTATCAGACTGGGACGTATCAGAGTCGCGTCGGTGCGTCTCGGCGCTGCCTTGGCGCATCTGGGAACATCATGCGGGGGCGGATGGAAATTTATCAGCGCACATTGAGACGTTGGCGATATCGAAGGCGCCTACGGCGAGTCACCGCCGCCCCTTGCCCTTTCGGAAGCGCCGATGTGGTCGAACGTTGAGGCCAGAGCCCTGCCAAGCTGTCGGACCATGTGTTCCCCGAATCGGTTTGGAAAGCCTTCGGGGAACACGTGGGGGAGGACGGGGAAGAGGAGGAGAGTGAGGAATGGGCGTGTTCGGGGCCCCTTGGGCGTGCTCGGGGCCCTTCGGGCCTTCCTGGAGGACGTCTTGGAGGGCTCTTGGACCGTCTTGGAGGCCTCTTGCAGGCCTTTTGGGCAGTCTAAGGCCATCTTGAGGCCATCTGGGGCCGTCTTGGGTGCATCTTGTGGCCATCTT